GGGGGGGGGGGGGGGGGGGTCAACGGTTGTGATGACTACAGACGCTGAAGATGTGATCACCCTGTTATGATAGTTTGAGGGATATATTATTGATACTACTATAGACTTTCCACAACAGTTGCGTGTCGTCCGTCCGAGGCTGCTACGTCTACCGATACGTATCATCATTGTTTACTGTGCTCTTAGGTTGGAAGACAGCGTGAATGTCCCATCATGAGTAGCGACAATGAGGGTTGTCGGTATGTTTCTCTGTCGTTGAAACATCAGGTGCAAGGGATAATGCCTCCTACAAAGGTTATCAGCTGCGAGAGTCGCTCCCCAAACGTGGAGCGGGGCCTTTTTTCCCTGAAAGTCCATGGAAACGAAACCCCATCGGTGTACCACATTTGCTTGCCTCTACTAATGTCGTCCGTCGTCTTAGTCTTGACGATATAATGAACAATGCTCTTCCTTTCAGTGGACATGGTGAACGAACCGTTGACGGTGGAGGCCCTGTGACGGATAAACTAACTGCTGACTCGGTTACGGAACAAGATGGCGAAGAGAACAGTCAGAAGTTCGCGGAGGCAGATTATGGTGACGAGGGATGGTCCACTCCTCCGTCGCATGCTGTGTCGCCGTCAAGAAGCGCTGTCACTCGCGACCATCCACGACCTCCTTTGACCGGGGGGCAAGGAAAGCGAAAATACACATAAAGGAATAGAAAAAGAGGATGTAGTGATTCCTCGTCCGCGTTCGAGCGTAGATGCAGTCTTGAGGACTGCGAGGCAGTTTTGAAAAAAAGATGTTGCAGAAGATCTGGATGCCTTAGTCGGCTCACCGCGCAAGACGTTCAGAAATGTAGACGTGAGTACCGTGCGCTTAAAAGCCGTGATAGTCGCAGGTGGTGGATTTCGAAATTGCAAAACTTTATCTCTCTGGTTGACCGGAAACCATCTGTGAAACCAATTGTGCAAATGCGTCCGATCTGCGTGAATGCCTGGTGCCTCATTTTAGGCGTTGGGCGGAATACGTTTAAAAGGCACACAGACGACCTCGGCGATGGAACGATGGATGCTGTTCATGGCCATGAAGGGCACCCTAGGACGAACGCAAGATACGTCATTACGTGGTCGGCATTTGAAGATATAATTCTCAATGAATCAGATCTGATGCCGGATCAAACAGAGACGGAACCGCTTTTCGAGATTAGAAATCGCATCCGCCTTCCTTCTGTTTATGCTACGAAGAGAGATGTTCATCGGAGCATCGAAAGCAGACTTCAGAAAATCGGCGTCGCTTGCTCGTCATATCAGGTCTTCTGCAAAATGTGGCGCGACTTTTTCTGGTAGGTTCGTCTAGCTCGAGCTACCCATCACGCAAGGTGCAACGAGTGTATTAGTTGGACCACTTGCATCGAGGGCACCCTCCCGGGGCCAAGGCGACAACTTGTGGCGCAACACAAATACCATTTGGCTCTTCAAAAAGCTCATCGCAAACTCTACAGCGTTTGGTCGGCGGAGTCGCAGTTCAAGCAGAGAGAGAGCTTATGCATCATCATAGACGGGATGGATCATGCTAAAACAACGATTCCCCATGCGGCGCGCAGGCGGTTGTCGAAAGAGATGGAGAACAACGCTATGATGAAAACAAATCTCACCGGTCTGATTGCGCATGGAAGGAATCCCTCGCTCTTCGTTCAGACCTGGTTCCCGTACTTGTCGCACGGTTCAAATTTCGTAGTCACATCAATTGCAAGAGTGCTGAGAGAGGTGCAGGCGCGAGATAGGGAGCTCCCTCCTCTGTTGAGGGTGCAAGCGGATAACTGTGGAGGTCAGAGCCCGGAGCCTTACCTTTCGCCATTGACTTCAGTGCCTGCCTTACCTCCAAGTCCGTCAGTGGTCGGTCCAGGTCAAGGCGACCCGAATTGGGTAACTGCACATCTACTACTTCCCATAAACTCGATAGATCACCCTGTCCTCTGTTAATTTCCGTTGGGCATCTACGTGACGTCAAGATATCATGATAGTACAGTTCAGCATAACTACACATAGTCGAGGACGTCACTGCTGCCGGGGCATGTTCATCGAACGGGTGACTTAGGGACTTCATCTCCTGATGGCTGTGCCTGTGTAGCAATCGTTGGAAGGTAGATTTTACCATTCTATCTCCTGTAACTATCCCTTTGATATTAAGGATTTCAATCCAGCGTCTGGATTTGTCTTCCTGAATACCATCCCACTTCTTCATCCTACGATCCCTCTCTTCCACCCATCTAGCCTCCTCCCTGGACCCTCTCGGTAAGATAGCTACACGATTTTCCGCCTCCTCCACAGCTGATTTCGCCGCCGCTTCTTCCTTACTCTGATCCAAGGCCCTTATTTTCGAGAAAATGCTAAGTATATCTCTCATAAAATAGGTACCCGCATCCCACCATTCCGCATCAGATTGGAATAATGGTCTGTATTTACTCCAGTTACTCAGGTGCTTGGACACCCACTGTTGAACTCCGGGATCTCTGATCGTCTCTTCATTCAAACGAAACAAACCTTTCCCTCGCTCAGGATCTTCCCCCCACAAAAAATGAAGCAAGATCGGGCTATGGTCTGAAATAGGATGGGGCTTTATTGCCACATCAACTGTGTTAGTCCAAACCGATTTACTTGTCAGGAAGAAATCCAACCGACGGGGGAGTATACTACGACCAGCAGAAACTTGAGCCGAGAACCAAGTGTAACCCGGATCCGATGGGGCTACTAAACGAAATACATCCACCAGCTCCAACTCTTCGACTATCTCTGTCACTGTATCAAATTCGCTACCCACATGCCGAGTCGAAAACATCGGATTAATATCATCCAATGAAATATTCCAATCCCCTCCAATAATTATGTGGTCAACATTTAGAAGCACATCCATAAGGCCATCAAAAAAAATGCGCCTATCAGCTTTCTCAGCAGGAGCATAAATAGATACAACAGCCCATTCTACACCAGCGGAGACCACCTTAATCCAGGCCCATCTACCCCACGTATCAAAGTCATGGTCTAGAATCTCGCCGTCGAAATTTATGTGCATCAGTATAGCAACTCCACCCCTTGATCCCATTGTTGGTGCCCACACCTGAGGGCCGTCCCACCATGCTCCTAATCTCACTATACCTTCTTCGTCCAACTTTGTTTCCTGAATGCACATGAAGTTGATTTTGTTCTCATGAATCCACGACTTGATCCCGCCCCGTTTATTCCTACGACCTATGTCCCCCATCCCCCTAACATTCCAGGACCCTATTTTAACATTATGCATTGTGGTTTCCTTGTCTTGCTGCTGATTGGATGCAAATAGAGGGGACTGACATACGGGACTGATCTGGATGATTGTTTTCTGCAGTCAGGCCGGTATCCCACCGTTGAGTCAGGAAGGTGCAAAACAACTCTGATGTAATGGCCCTCGATTTAGGAATTTTCGTGGAAAGTTTACCGAGAGCCGTGGCATCAATCCCTCCTAAAATATTAATTGTGGACAATTCCGGTCTGTCTACCTGAGCAAGCCAGTCGACCGGTATCAAACACAACCCCCTACTAACTAAATTACACAGGGATTCCTGTGACAGACGAGCATCCATCAACAGGGCATACAATTTGACCTTAACTCCTGCCTTTTCCACAAAAAACTTAGGAGTAGGGACATCTGGAACACAACGAATAGCAATTTCATTACCAAATAAGTGGCGCGACATGCTCACAATCTCCAACGGCATTGGAGGGCCTGGTATCTGCAAAGAGGGAAGAATCACCTCCGTTGGAGATGTTGACCAGGCGAGCACAAAAACTCCTTCCTGAGCTGTCGTGAACAGCAGCGGAAGCAGGTACTTGGTCCACCCCTGATCCTGCCCTGTCTTGGCAATCATCTGTCTACGGTTCCGTTTGGTGATCTTTAGCTCCACAGTTCTATCGACAGGCTTCTCACCCTGAGCCGATGTCTCAGAAGCTTCTGAACCTTCATCCTCCTCCTTCTCTCGTATCCGTAGGTCTTTCATATCCTCGCTTAGCCTCCTCCGAAGTTTGGTAGGCGTCCCTGCCGGACCTCCTGGCCCTCCGGGGCCCTGCGTTTCCTTGTCGCTAGCTCTACTTAACGTGGGTGAAGCCATTTTGCTCGATGAGTCGGCCCGATTGTCACCTCCTTCCCTGCCGGTTGGTTTTGGTAATTGCTGGTGGCCAAGGACTCCGCCTAATTGACTGCCTGATCTCTCTTGCACCGGTGTCCGACTTCCACCGCTTCCTGACGGCTGATTCGACCAGTCTCGAAAACCATATATTGGGTTGAGTCTTGTTGTACCTCCCCATCCCATGTTCCTCTGCTGTTGTCCACCCTTCTCCTCACTCAGGGTTCTCGAGCGCGGTTTTAAGCATCCATCATATGAGCCTCTTTTCGGTCGACTTCTGCCACTACTTGCTCTAGAGCTTGAAGTGCTAGATGCTTGCGAGGGTTCTGGACTGATTGGTCGGCACCTGTTTCCTTCCATATCCTCATCCCTTGTACTATTGTTGCCTTCACTCATTCTTCTGCTCCCTTGACTATTGGGGGAATGACGGCTTCCTCCGCTTCTCGTAGGGCTTGGTGCTGGAGATGGTACAGGTGTCGGCAGTCTCGAAGGTTGTCTACTGCGAAATCTCGGGCACTGGTCCGCCAAGTGGAAGAACTTTTTACAGTTACTGCACCAAGGGGTTGAAGCATTCACAACCTTGACTTCCAGGATCTGTCCTTGGAACGTAGTAAACGTTAGCGTTTCCTTGCATCTTGGAAGGACCTCGATGGCGATATCCATGCGAACATTAATCAGCTGAGGTTTTAATACATCCTTCTCTGGCGGATATACTTTCCTCACTGGTCCAATCGCCCTCGTCGCAGCATCCTCCAAGAAGCAATAGGCGTCTATTGGAACATTCAGACACCTAATCCAAAAATACATATTAGCGTCCATCTTCTTTGCCTCCAGAATGTCCGCCTTCGTCATCCATGGCTTGAAGGCGACAGAATACCATCTTCTACGAAGTTCTACCGTGGTGCCTTGCTCAGTCTTCATCCAATCAGCTACTTTCTGGTCCTTAGCGATGTATGAAAGCACGTTACTCGACTCGATACAGACCCTTCCCCTCGTTACCGAGGGGTCAAATCTCCCTTCCCCCAGCCACACATCTTCGTACGCCCGGATGACGTCCTCCTTTATTTTCTTTGGAAGGTTCTTTGAACCTTCCAAAAAAATAACGGTGACGGTGCGTTCCTTAAGCCAGTTTACCTTGATTTCATCCAAGGATGGATTCAAAGTAAAGTGTGCCTTCGATCCTTCTTCTCTCATCTCTCCGATGTCCCAGCCAGTTGGCATAATACCAGCATCAAAGCACTTCGCTAACATCTCCCGTACACGTTCTTCTTCCGCCCAATAATTAGTTACTGCAGGAGGAGGGGAGCGATTCTGTTGACCCCCCTCCACTTCCTCTCCTCTTGGTGTTTTCTGCCCATTGTTGCCTGGTTCCTCCTCTGCCCCCACCATTCCAACATCGTGTGACGGACTCAAGGGCTGATGCCCCTGCTGACCCCCTTCAACCTCCATTCAGGGCTCCCGTAGTACCTTGATAATGCCGACAACTTGCTTTGCACCGATCTTACGTCCTGGTCAACTTTGGACGACAACCTGTCTACACGTAAGCACTACCGCGCTGGACAGGTCCAGCTATACGAGTCAGTTACAACGAATAGCATCCTTACCGGGCGCATGGGCTGGACACGAAGGCGATGGTGATGGCTTTCATAGCCACCATGCCACGCGAATGAAACCTAACCAGCCACAAAGGTTGCAGGTGTTAGGTGTCCAGGCCGGCTGCAAGCCGGCGGGTAGCGGAGCCGAGCGCTATTTTTGCGCCGTGAACCGGTACCTCCCGCTTGGGACAAAATACAGCCACCTACTGCAGGTTAGATGGAAGGTTGTGGTTACCCAAAAAAAAAAAAAAAGGTTGTGGTTGTTTTTTGTTTTGCGTGTGTGTTTTCTTGTTCCCTGGTTGGCTGGCTAGCATGTGGGAATTGTCAAAAGAACAAACGGTGCGTCAATAGTGAAAATTCCTGTTTGTTTGTTTGTTTGTTTGTTTGTTTGTTTGTTTGTTTGTTTGTTTGTTTGTTTCCTATTTGCACAGGTCTGTGGGATGCAATTTTTCTTTTCCGTTTCTCCTGGCGTGGCCTCATCTTTTTCGCTACTTTTCCGATTTTCACACATAAAAGAACCTGACCGGATCAGCCGCCAAGGCGACAGTACTCGTGGCTGCAAAATTCTTCTTTCTGTCCCATCCCGTTACTGTTTTTGTGCATGCCAACATTGGGTGATCGCAGGTGGTCGTATCGATGTCTGCCTCATTGGCAGACAGGGGAACGCCTAGAAGTCAGGAGCTCGAGAAAGACAACACACACAACACACACAAACGCCAGCGACGACGAGGGAATGCTGAGAACCATTATGTGCGCACTACCCTCTTCACCCGAATAGAACCGCCCTGCTGGTCATTATTGCTGCATCTGGACTCTAAAGTTGTACCAAATACAGCTGTAATGACGGGGCGTTCTATTCGGGTGAGGTTTGTAAGGCCTACCTAGTCCATTAGGTGTCAGTGATCCTTTCTTTATCTCTTAACTTTCTATAGGCATTCTCACACTAGCAACTTTTTTTTTTTCTTTTTTTTTCTTTTTTCACACTAGCAACTTTAGTGGTGCCTAGCGTAGCGTCCGAAGTTCCCGTACAGCGAGGCCTGTCTGATTTCGCTTCCACTGGGGCTGGGGTAATAGCTACCAAATAGCCTTTGTGCCTATTACTACTGTCTGGTCCGAGTCACCCACCTAGGGGTTGGGTGATGGTCCTGAGTGGGTTACACTGAGGTAAGATAGTGGGGTTAGGGGGTACGCTGGGAGTATTGATGAGTGGTAGGGTGGGAGTGGGAGGGTGGGAGGTGGCCTCGTATCTTAGGACTGCGAAGGCTCATCGCTCCCGGTGATCCCTGTGTGCCTGGTAATTAGCCTCTACAACATCCTGGACTTTTTAAAAGATTTTTATTAAAAAAAAAAAGAAAAAAAGAAAGAAAGAAAGAAAAAAAGACAACCAGGGCTCCACCTGTACTATGCATCTGGCCGCGCTTCCATCCCGACATAAGAAAAAAAGAGTGCTAGTGTGAGTATGCCCTATGGCAGGGTGGTATTACTCATACTACAGTCTTCGCGAAGAACAAAACACACCCTGATTTTTTTAAATATTTTTTATTTATTTATTTATGGCTGTGTTGAAGGGCAAAGATGGCTTGTATACATATTCATTTTCAGGGTGGGCTATGTTAAGGAGGGGAAGACGGTAGGACTTTTTCTACTAAGCACTGGAGGCGAGATTGCAGCCAAATCCATCCAGGTTTGGTTGTAACTGGGGCCACATACATCTCGGAATGGAAGAGTCAAATGGGCCTCGCTGAGGCTCGCCTCCACTACTCACCAAATGTGCAAAATGAGATCTGATCTTCCGCTAGAACATGGAAAGATGCAGAGCCATATTTTGTTGTCTTTTGTGCATGTGGAGAGTGGCCGAGTGAGGCCCAGGTTTGCTTTTTTTTTTTTTTTTTTTTTTTTTTTTT